AAGTAGGTATTGGGCCCGATGGAATTCCTACAATTTTTTTGAAAATGTGTTGTAAAACTCTAGTTAAACCTTTACATCATTTATTTAATTTGTCTCTATCCAGTGGAACATTTCCACTTTGTTGGAAAAAATCTTTCATTTCTCCCATATATAAATCAGGTGATAAACAAAATGTGAACAATTATAAGCCAGTTTCGAAAATGTCAATTTTGCCAAAAATGTTTGAAGCTATTATCTCAAAAAATTATCAAATTTATTGTGTAATAATATAAGCTTTTCTCAACATGGATTTGTACCAAAACATTCGATTCAAACTAATTTATTATTATATCATAATTATCTTGTAAAAGCTCTTGATCAAGGCTCCCAAGTAGATACTATTTATACGGACTTTCAAAAGGCGTTTGATAAGGTGAATCATAATTTACTATATCATAAATTAAAAAATATTGGTATAGGTGGGAACATTTTACAATGGTTATTTTCGTATCTTTCTGATCGTACTCAAGTAGTTAAAATTATGTCTTATGTTTCTGATGATTATCCTGTCTTATCAGGTGTTATTCAGGGCAGCCATTTAGGTCCTTTACTATTTTTAATTTTTATTAATGATCTCCCACTAGTCCTTGATTGTTCTATAAACATTTTATTATTTGCGGATGATGCGAAGATTTTCTGTACAATAAATTCTTTAAGTGATGCTGAATCTCTTCAGTATAATCTTAATAAATTTCAATTATGGAGTAAATTAAATTTATTACCGTTAAATATTGATAAATGTCATACGATAACATTTACACGTAAAAAAAATCCCATCTTGTTTAACTATAATATTGAAATGTTTTCTCTCACTAGAGTAAATGTAATCAAAGATCTTGGTATTTATTTTGAAAGTGATCTTTCTTTTAAAACGAACCATAAAATGATAATTAATAAATCGTTTAAGATGTTAGGCTTTATTAATAGAAATAATAAAGATTTCAAAAATCCGTTATGCTTAAAAACCTTGTATACATCTTTAGTTAGATCCAATCTTGATTTCGGCTCCGTAATCTGGTCATGCAAATATATGACATATATAAATGATTTAGACAATGTACAATATAAATTTTTTAAAAAGGATTTCATACTTATCGAATATTCCATTATCTAGGGACTCTCTCCATCTAACTCAAGATTATATTGGCCTTGTTTCTCTTTCACTTAGACGGAAATTAACTGATATTATGTTTGTCTATGATCTTATTAATTACAATATCATGTGTCCCGAATTGTTGTCTGAAATCAGTTTTCGAATTCCACATCTAATTACACGTAGTTCAGATTTATTTTTAGTTCCTCATTATAAAACGAATAGTGGTACCAATTCTTTTTTCTCTCGAGCTTTAATTTTAGCTAATAAAATTTGTATACATTTAGATATATTTTTTCTCTCACGCAATTGTTTTAAATCTAAATCTATGTTATTATTAAAAAATATTGATTGATTAATATAAAAAAAAAAAAAAAAAAAATGTTTATAATGTAATTATAATTTTATATTTTTATTACTTTTAATTAAGAATTAATTTTATATTATTTTTATCTGTATTTGTTAGGTGTTACTACACTTACTTAGTTTTTAGTTTTTATCTAATATGTTTCCTTTATATAATTTGTAAAAGGGTATATACCCGTTGATATACAACATAAATAAATAAATAAATAAATAAATAAATAACAATGACATAGATGATGACGTTTACAAGTGTCCTTTGTGTTCCGCTGGATCTTTGCCATCAATTAATGGTGCTCATAAATGCACAATATGTAAAACACCAGTTCATGCTATTCCAAGTTGTTCTTCACATATCGAAGGAGATGAAACTTTACGGATATGTAAAAATTGTTCAGAAGTTAGGAATGTCGATCTAAATGAAAATAATGCAATGGAGACATGGAATAAGAAAACAAAAAAAAAGCTTAAGAGTAATTCTTATCTTCTTCCTAACCCACATTTACGCCATCTTGATATGAATGCTAGAAAAAAATATAAAAACGCTCCCTTTACTCAAAAATGGATCTCGTGCGGATGAATTAAGAAGCCTTAAAATTAGAAATATTGATGGCGCTATTATTTTAAGCAATACGTGTGCATTTGATGCTGTAGTATCATTGATTATGGTGGCATTTTGTGATAGCACGATTTTTTCTAATGTATTACTACAGAAAAATACAGTATTTATAGAATTTATATCAAACATTTTGAAAAATGGAATTTCTTCAAACACTTATACACAAAGAGCTGAATTGATAGGTGATCGATTAAACCCAAAATTGGAGATCCTACAAAATTATGTTACACTTCTCATATGCGATACAACAGCCGTGGAAGTTATAAAAGCAATGTTGGTTGAGTTTCCTTCAGTTATTGAGACAGTCAATTGTTCAAACAAGGAATGTGAAAAACACCATCCATATCAACGATCAGTAAGCTATATAACATTCCAAACAAAAAATGGTCAATTGCATGAACTACAAGAGTTTCTAATTGATCGCATCCGTACGGAAAAACTGGTATGTGTACAATCTAAAACCTCTGAATCAACACGCTGCAATGGATTGCAAACTATAGAGCCTACAATATCACCAGTGCACATTCTCATTGAAATAATCTTTTGGAAAGGTATGATTATCATTTAAATTATTTGGATACATATTAATACAATTTTTCTGATACTTATTTAGGTGAAAATATTGAACACAGCAATGATGCAGGGTGTACAATGGATATAAAGCTGTGTGATATCCCTCAAGTTTTAAATATGAACTTCATTTCATATGAACTACGAGGAGTGATACATTTTCGCAGAGGGAGACTTTTACTTCGGAACACAGTAGGACATTACACAGCTTACGTAAAAAGATGCGGCAAAAACTGGGAATTATTTGATGACCTTAAAAAAAAGCCAATACCGGTAAAAGAAACAACAAAAGTATCGTGTGAATTATTGTTATACACTATTTAATCCAAACCATTAAAACAATAATAATGTAATACACAGACATTGAATTTAATTTATATTAATCATTAAAAAATTGTCTACTTTAAATATTATCTAGTATGAATATAATTACAATAAAGAGAGTAAATAATAAATACATTTGTGATTTGTTGCATAATTATTATTTTCATACTACTGTCCTTAACATATTAAAAATGTGTTTTCTTTGAGATATTAATTTCCCTTTTATTCTGTAATATCGAAGAAGTATAGTACATTAGTACCTACATATCCAATTGCATATTATATGCTAAATAATATATAGTATTGAATATAAAATAATGTAAATAATGTGTTAAATGATGATTTTTAGAAAAATCATGTTTTAGAAATAATAAGAATTTAAAAATAAACATAAAAATAGTGATAATAAAAACAAATAATTACAACAATTGATTTATAGTTATAAATATCTAAAACAACAAGTGATACAAAAATTAAAAATAGTGAATACCTAGGTAACATCATATAACAAAATATTATCAAACTATATAAAACTGTATTTTTTGGTATTTAGTAAGACGCTACGAAATATAAATTATTTTACAAAAAAATTGACAACTAAATACATTTGTAATTATATGCATATTTCCATTTTTTATATTCTGTTTTTGGAATAACGTTACCCCAGCCCTCCACACAAAAATGGATTTTTCTCGTAGAACGAGTTGCGTACAAATTTCGAAAATGGTCGTACAAATTCATACTAATTACGTACTAATTATTGGTATACTTAAAGTTGCTATAAACAGTGTTTAAGCGGTTGCGAGGGGCTGGAATAACGTTACCCCAGCCCCCCCACACAAAAATGGATTTTTCTCGTAGAACGAGTTGCGTACAAATTTCAAAAATGGTCGTACAAATTCATACTAATTACGTACTAATTATTGGTAAACTTAAAGTTGCTATAAAAAGTGTTTAAGCGGTTGCGAGGGGCTGGAATAACGTTACCCCAGCCCCCCCACACAAAAATGGATTTTTCTCGTAGAACGAGTTGCGTACAAAATCCAAAAATGGTCGTACAAATTCATACTAATTACGTACTAATTATTGGTATACTTAAAGTTGTTATAAACAGTGTTTAAGCGGTTGCGAGGGGCTGGAATAACGTTACCCCAGCCCCCCACACAAAAATGGATTTTTCTCGTAGAACGAGTTGCGTACAAATTCCAAAAATGGTCGTACAAATTCATACTAATTAAGTACTAATTATACATAGTAAAATAATTATTATTTTTAGAAGTGGGGGGGGGGGCGGCGTAATGCACGGCAACCACATACTGCATTGAATGCCAGAGACCAATTTGTGGCGAGCATCAAAAAAAATATGTCTAGAATGTTAATAAATAAATTTTTTTATAGTTAGTTACGTTAACAGGAAGTTTTTATTTTTATTATTTAGTCATTATGAATTTTATATATGTACTATTATGTTACAAGTTGTACAAATAAGTACAAAACAAAGTTTTGAATTTTATTTTAATTGTTTTATTTTGTTTGAAAAATATGATTATATTTGTTGATTTAATGTTGATTGAATAAAAAAAGTATGTACAAGATTTAACAAGTGTTTAATTTTAAAAATATGATAATTATATAACTGAAAACAAATATGCGTAAATTTTACGTATCATTACCTATAGTAACATGTAAATTATCGTTACTATACAAGGGTTAACAGACCGTCACCGCGCAGACACTAACCGCACCGTGCAGTACCGACAAACATTCTATAAAATAATGTTTTGTCGGTGCATGTCGTGTCTGCACGGTTGTCGTCTGGGCGAGGAGGGTTGGGGTATGAAGGCGATAACGACGTTCATCTACTAAAATAGAATATAATATTAAATTATTATATTTATCACAATATTGATTCAGTATGTTAACAACCTTGAACCTATTTATTTTTTTGTAGTACGTATTTTATTAGTCAAGTCTATAACTATTTTTTTAAAAATGGACAATGAAATTTTAATTGAGCTAGTTAGAGCTAGGAATTGCTTATATGATTTAAGTCACAAAAAGTATAGTGACTATTCGTTTAAGGAATCAATATGGAAGGAAATTGGAGAAGAAATGAATCAGCCAAGTAAGTAACACTCCTATACTTCTAAAGTTAATTAACATTTATTTAAAATAAGATTCTTTTTTATTAAAAGTTATATAATTATATATTTTGAGTAATTTTATAATGAAAAAACTTAAAACCAATGTACCTATAGATAAATATTTATGATAATACATTTAAATTTAAGTAAAAAAAAAACCTTAAAAATTATATTTATTTTAATTCCTTACTAAACGGATTTGCATTCAACGATTTTTAAAATAACTTATTCCCATGGCAGTTGTCCTAAAGGTGAACAAATGAAGTCTTTAACTTTTTCTCTAACTTCAAATGCATCTCTATTAGCACTCCCTCCTTGTCTTGGAATCGGAATTATATTATGAACTGTATCTATTAATATAGGTTTTGATAATTGAGTGCTATTTCCAATATTTCCATGTTGTTTTATAAAATTATGTAAAATACAAGTAGTCATGATAATTTTGTCAGCATTTTTTGGTAATATTTTCATTCTTCTTGAATAAATACGAAATTTTTGAGTAAGCTGTCCAAAAGTATCTTCTACTACTTTTCTTGCTCTAGAGAGACGGTCATTAAATTTTCTTTTAGTATTATCAGCATACATTTGAGGACCCGGGTATGGTCTCAATAAATATGTTTTTAGGGGAAATGCTTCGTCGCCAATTATTGTAAACGGGGTTTTCTCACTAGTTCCTGGAAGTGGTTTTCCATCAGGAATATTTAATTTGTTTCGTTCAAGTGCTTTTCCGAAATTAGAATTTGAAAAGATACCTCCATCACTATTTCTTCCGTAAGCCCCGATATCAACTGCAATAAATGTATAGTGTGCATCAACTAATGCCATTGAAACTATGGAAAATGTTTTTTTTATAATTATAATACATAGATCCGCTATTTGGAGGTGCTTCTATAACAACGTGTTTACCATCTAACGCTCCTATACAGTTTGGGAAGTTCCAAATTTCCCAGAAATCATTAGATATCTGCTCCCAATTTTCTTTTTTTGGTTCTGGTATGTATTCTTTTAATAATTGTTTTATGATGGCTGTACACACTTCCACTACAATTGAATGAACTGTTGAATGCCCCAATCGAAAACTAAAAGCAATAGTTTGATAGGAATCTCCTGTCGCTAAAAATCTATGAAAAAAAAAAGTTATAAAATATATTTTATTTTAATTTATTAAATAATTATTAAATCAATAATTTTGATAAGTTTTATAAAAATTTTAACTCATAACGAATTTTGGACTCAGTAGATAGAATAACGATACGATTCTGATATTTTTTTTTAAGCACAAGAATGTAAAAAGTCATGGGCAAATTTAAGGGACGCTTACAGAAGAGCTATTAAAAAAAGTGCAACAGTGTCCGGTCAAAAAGCCAAAAATGTTAAAAAATGGAAATACGAATTGGAGATGGAATTTTTGAAACCGTACATGAAGGAAAGGGAAACAGTATCCTCAGTTGATACTAAAAGTGACGAAGAAAAAAGTAGTTCCGATTCAGAAAACGAATTAAATTATTCTAAAAACGAAATAAATAAATCTGGAAACATCATATTGGAAAGTATTATTTCACCTGAAGAAAATATTACAAATAGTACACCATCGGAACTATCTCCAAAATTTTGTAAACCTCCACCAAAGAAAGTTATGACTCCCAAAAAAAGAAAAAAAAATGAAAGCCATGTAAGTTCAGAATCTGCGTCCTCGCATTTGATGAGATACATCATAGAAAAAGAAAAGAAAGAAGAAGTTAAGGCAAATACAGAAAAAAATGAAATTAATGTGATTGATCAGTTTTTTCAAAATATGGGTTCGACGGTGAAACAATTTTCTCCTTATCTCCAGCATTTGGCTAAAACAAGAGTTTTTTCTGTGATTTCCGAGTTGGAACTAGATCACATAAAATCTCAAAAACTGCATGAACAACAATATCAAAAACAATACCAACAACAACATATATCGGCGTTGCAACCAATATATCAATCCACACAAGATTATACTGACGGTTCAATAAGTCACCACTCTGATTCATCAAACGTAGGTAACTTTTTAACAACATTCATACCTTAAAAATGACTATTGTTTTTTTTATTACTTATAAAGTTATAAATATTAAATTGTAATTTTTAAAAATAAAAGCTGTATTTAGAATATACTAAGTTTCCGGTATGTTTTATTTTAATTGCATTTAATTGTTACGATTGTTCAAATATATTATTTTATATTAATATTAATTATGAGTTGAAAAAAATATAATGAATATTCATGTAATAATGTACCTATTAGTAATTCTATATTGCCTCACCTTAAACATACTGCCAATTTTTGTTTAGCTGGTATCGCTTCTCTAAAGTGAGTGTTTTGTTTAGTAATATCATTTTTTATTTTTGATAAAAGTATATTAAACTGACCACCACCTAATTGGTCGTGAGGCAATTGCCTCATGAAACACCCTATCACGCTGCCACTGAGGGGGAGTAACAACTGTATGGATTTTATTTACTTAACATGGTCACCCTAAATTGTCTACCGAATTTTTGTCGATAATCCATCACCCAAGGATTATCGACAAAAATCAAATATTTAATAGATTTGTGCTGTAAATATTGATTTTTTAATAAAAAAAAAGATTAACCAATATGCATCTTATATTTTGTCGGGAAACTTATCTTATTGTTATAATATATAATTTAGACATTGGACATAAGCCACCTAAATAATTTACCATCATCGACCATTTAAATAAAAATTACCCTTTCGTCTCTACTGGTTTTAATACAATTTTCAATTTCAATACCTATTGATAGGGATCAGACCTAAAGTTAAAAGTACAATTTTCAATCAGTAAATTTTTTTTTTTGATGTGTATATAATTACCTGTAATTCAAATGTAACTATATTTTTGAACTCCTGGGCCCCCACACGAGTTCTCTCGATGGACCCAGAAGATACGCATGTATATGAAATTAAATTATTATTTAAAAAGTAGTAAATATTTTTTGCGTCATTATAAATTCAAAATAATAATTTTTATTCTAGGTATATTATACAATATACATACTGTGTAGTTCTGTTAATAATATTTACTTAATGTTTCAAATCCAGACAATATATAGTCAATAAATTTAAATTCCGCTGATTTCACGGTCCGGAATTTTGTTTTCAATGCATTTTATACTCCACAAATATAAGTTTCAATGTATTTTAATATGTTTCCATTTTATAATACTGTAACATTATAGTCAGTGATTTCATAATTCCTGTGGTTTTTTTTCCGGGATTTTATTGGCATCCCGGAATTTTGCTTTCCGGGCGTTTTACGGTCAGAGTTATTTAATTCCGGTAAATTTACGTTCGGCCGTATTACTTTTTTTCGTTATTACGTTCCGTAAATTAAAATTTTAATTCGTTTTATATTCTACACAAATTATGTTCTAGTTATTTTACAATCCGGAATTTAATTTTCCAATTTAATTTTGTTCATTAATTTTAAGTTCTGTACAAATTACAGTTAATATGTTTAAATTCCGCTGATTTTACGGTCCGGGATTTCATTTTCAATGCATTTTAAACTCCTTAAATATATATTTCAATTTGTTTTAAGTTCCTGCCATTTTATAATACGGATGTATTATAGTCCGTGATTTCGTTATTCCGGAGGTTTTGTTTCCGTGATTTTACGGCCTCCCTTTAAAAAGTCTTACATTTTTATTGATAATATTTTGTTTTATTTGTATTTTATTTATCAAAATAAGTTATTATATTATCATTACTTTTTAATTGGTTAATATTT